TCCAGCTGGTTTCCTGATATGTTTAATCTGCATCAAGAAACTGTCAAACACTAAAAAGTCGTGAAGCTGAAGCTTCATGTTTGATTCTTGTTCGAAACTTCCCGTTCCAACTTCGACAATTCGAACAAGAAGCCTTATAAAAAGTTGAACGTTGAAAGACATTTTACAAGAAACTCTTCAACTTTTGAGGAAAGTCTCCTGCCGGAGATGTGAGAATAGCAGCTATAGCGGAGTTAAAGCTTAAAGTAGAGCAAAGTAAGTCTGTGTTTTCATTTACGTTATTTTTTTTTGCCAATACTAGTACATTAGCACATACTGAAACATATTTACAGCCAAGACGGTAATATGGACATAAAATATTGTGGCTCCCAAGGTGGTTTGATTTTTATTGAAAGAACAAAATGGCTCTTCTTAACATTTGGGTTGCCAATCCCTGGTTTAGGGTTAAGCTTAAAAATAACATGTTGGCAATATCATGAGTAAAATACAGTACTGTGCAAAAGTTAGAGACGAACGCTATATCTATTTAATTTTGTTAAGTAATGAAATGAAATGAATGGTGGTCCTGGTCAAAAATCAGTGAACAGAAAGATACATTTGTGTTAACAGAACATTTGTCCGTATTAAAATGATATACACATCCAGCACATTCAATGCATCACTCTTCTGTGCCCTGACACTGTGTGTGTATACATGAAACACCACACATTATCCTTATGTAACCTTCTGCAGCATGATGGTGTGGGTACCCGCTCCCTCCTCCCCCACCCCCTCAGGCACTATGTGTCAGATGGATGTCATTAATCAGCTCCATCAGCTTTTCTGTGCATTTTGCTCACGCTGACCTCTGTGGTCGGTTTGTAATTTCAGCTGGACTGTGCCTGTGCAGCGTCCCCGAGCTCGCAGCACACGGGGCTGTTTGTGTTTGTAACGGTTCAGTTATATCATTAGAGGTTGTGTCACACTAGAGCGAGTGGCCTGGACATTGTGGCATAGTGGCGTGTGAAGTAAGAGACATTTGCTAGGAGCTGCGTTTGAAGCTGTCTTGGGTCGCGAACAGCTGTCGTAATACCAAGTGACCCCAGATGTCATGATTCCGCAATGGCGTCTGGATTCAATGTGCTTTTGCTATGGAAGTGGGTGTGTGCCATATGTATAAGGGAGATGGTAGTATAATGCAGTTATTTGATTGTCTCAGAGTTTCTATAGTCGTCAAATGGCTTCACGGATGCACCGCTGCCTTTTGCCCCACTAACATAATCACCTAGAAATCAAGGCTAGCAGGAAGAAAGATGATGCAGTTGAACATGCATACACCCTCGTGTGTGAAGTTTAGACTAAAGTACTATTCGGATAAAATTAGCTATTAGGTAATGTAGTTTTACTGCCATTTCTCTGATTTTTAGTCCTGTCTGAATGCGCTATATAAGTAATTATTGTAATTATTTTATGGACTGTATGCTTCTACGTCAGAAAAGATCTCGGCGCCTTTAACCCACTATAAAATGAACCGTAGAAATAACCCAAGCTTATATTAATATTCATAATACTATGCTGTGCACTGTTAATTTTTGCCAGTATTTCACAATGTTCAACACCTATTTTTCATAGTACAAAACTAAATTTATCATTTTATTGTCAAATCAACTTATCCTAAGATATTTTCTGTAATAACACAGCAAATTGCTGTGAGGTTGAAATGAACTGTACCGCACAGCATTATAGGATATGACAGCAACTGAGAGTTAAAAAGGCATAAATACTTTAATAAATGCATTGTAAGTGCTTTTATTCTGAAGGGTGGTGTTTGTAAGACTTTTATGCTGAATATTTAAGTTATTTGCTTATTTTTGATCGTTTATTGGTATTGCTAGATGTGAGTGTTTTGTCACGTTTGTGTGAATTATAAGCAACGTTACACTGTCTATTAAAATTGTATTTGTGCACTGAAAAAGATGATATCGACGCAACTAAAATTGTTTTATAATTGTTTATTATAATTGTTTATAATACAAATATGTCTGTATTTATGTAATACTTCTCATGTTGAGATTGTTGTAAGCTTCTTAAAGATTATTTCACTTATTTGTCGACATGTTAACTTATTTTTAAGCTATTTTATTGAGTAAAATTATCTCACTTTGTAGGCAGATTATGTTGCTATTTTTAAGACTATGCTTGAGACAAGCAAAATTAACTGCCAATCAGTAGAGTAAGATAATTGTACTTGATAGAGTTATTTTAAACAAGTTCAAATGTCTTAAAATAAGATAAATAGTCTATAATAAGGTTCCAACAATCTAAACACAAAGACATTAGATATACTGATAAGATGTAAGATCATTTTACTTGCTATGATACCATTTTTTGCAGTGCACTTGTGATATTCTATGCATATTCAGTGCAAAACGTGGTGAATAAACAAGCTCATTGAGGTTGCTTTTAATTTGATTTTAGCTTATCTTTCACTTTATTTCAATTTTTTTAAGTATTTTCTCAAATGTTACACTGTGTAAAAAAATAGTGTAAATAATTGTTTTTTCTTAAGTATGTAGACCCTCATAAAGCATTTACTTGTGTTCTGTGGCTGAAATCAAGCCAATATGTGCTGTCTCACACTAAGTTGCAAGTAACAGGTAAATCTCAAGTCTTGACACTCGAGTCCTAAGTCAAGACAACTGAGTCTCAACTGAAGTCCCAAGTCAACACAGGCAAGTCTCAAGTTAAGTCTCAAGGCCTAATCTTCAAGTCCTAAACAAGTCAGTGTACATTCTTCAGCTAATTTAAGGCCATTTCAACACTGAGCACTGAAAAGTGATGGTAACAGTAATACAGTCTTTTAATGACAGAATGTTTGTAAATATTAATTTATTATACATTTTTTTCACCCTTCCAAATAAAATACAATATCCATGGTACACAGAGAACCTAAATGCTGCACCATTTAAGGTGGAACAGAAAATCCGAGTTAAATTCGGCTTTATGGTGAATGTTGTACTTGTTTTATCTGCAGAAGCTGTTAAAATCTTTCAAATTACGAGAGCTGTATTTCTTTCGTTTTGCTACAATGAGGAAAATGGTCAGTTTGCCTGGTAGGTTTCTTTAGAGTTTCTCTTAGAGTTTAAGTGCTGAATGAAGGCTTAATGGATGCTTCGCTTGTTTCTAGCTTATGGAGGCATACTTGAACTCTAATGCTCCACTTGTCTTCCAAAATAAAATGAGCTGAGCATAAACACAGTAACAGACAGTTGACAGCGTTGCTGTATATCAGATTTACAACAAGAAACAAATCTATTCACATTAAAACTAAGCAGCTGTGTAGAGTCCCGTCTGCAGTCAGACTCTCTCCGTGTCTCTTCCACTTTGGGTCTTAAGTCATGAGGCTCAAGTCCGAGCCAAAGTCAGAGTCATTGGTGTTCAAGTCAAAGAAAAGTCTTTCTCGATTTTGTCAAGTCAAGTCTCTAGTCATAAATTTGTGATCAGGTCATATGACTTGAGTCCACACCTCTGTCAAATGAGAATCAGCCATGAACATTACCAACGTTCTGTGGCAAAACTGCATTAAGTACCTACCTCCCCATGGAAAACTAATCTTGTCTGAATGGTACTTTAGTATTAACGAGTTAGAAAAAAGACTTAATGCAGTTTCTGGAGAAATTCCACGTTAAGCTGTTTAGTCAGTTACAGGTCCGGCAGGTTGAACCCTAGTCAGTCACAGGTCACTCGGAAATTGTACGATAAAGCAGGGGTGGATTTCTTTGTTAACGTGATCACTTATGCCAAAAAACAAGTAGGAGAAGAGCTAAGGAGCATCACTTATTGGACAATCTTCATCTTTTGGCTTAAATTTTCTCAAGTTAGCTTACTGAGAAATCCCCCCTTAGATCTGTGATTTTCCTGCACTAACACATCTACTAAACCTCATGATTAACTCAAGATCAGGTGTGAATCAGAAGAAAAATCATCTAACTGTGTATGACTTCAGCACTAGAGTTGCGTAGAGGTGTTCTTCCTGTCTCTGTCTGGCTGCGTGGTGTATGCTGGACAGGGTTGTGTCCCAATAGACAAACAAAGGTTCCGTCTTAGTTCTGTTTGGACAAAGAAGAAAGACATTCCTGGCATCTTCTATAGTCTCAAACTAAGGTGAGAACAGCCTGAGGCTGACATACTTGGTACTGCCTTTCTCACTGAAGAGGAGCGGTCAATGCCTGCATCAGCATGGTCTTCTTGCTGTGGGTATAGTAATGTAGCGACTGCTCAATTTGTTTTGTGATTATCTATGGTATAAACCACACTGGGAGCTGTGGGCTGGATATCATAGCTGGTGATCATGTGGCTAAGTACATTGATAAGGAGTAAAATTGCTAACAGATGCCAAGTACGAGCTAAGAGCACTCCCTGATTGCTACTTCAGACCAAGCATGACAATACCACAAATGCAGCAATGCTAATATGAGGTGGGCAGGGCTAGCTCCCCAAACTTCAGCATTAAATGCCTAGTGACAACAACTCATAGCTAACTACTATTAACTACTACTACTACTACTAACTACTAGCAACTTTGGCTAGCCTCTTGACAAGATGTCAGCATATAGAGTAGCATCATCTGCATAGCTATGAAAATTGATGTCATGTTTCCTGACGACATTAGCTAGAGTTAAATCCACGAAGAGAAAAGCAAAGGCCCTAAAATTGAACTCTGTGGGACAAGAATTGTTTTGATGAATGCTTTCCTACTGAAACTGAGAACCATCTATTCATTAAATATGATTTAAACCATTCTATAACAATGCCAGAGAGGCATACTCAATTACCTTTATAGACCATTTTTGCTATGTATTTAGATTTGTATTGGTGTACTCAATTTGATGCTAGCTAGCATTCATTTCTCATTTCACTATCAAGAAGAGAAAGCATCAAATAAATGTTTTTGCTAAGCTTGGATAACAACAGTACAAAATCTACCAAGTTCAAGAATCAACTGCTAAGCAATTTGCATCTTTTTATAATTAATATATTTTATTTACCAATTTTTGCAAGTACACAAAAACGACACTAAAATGTAAGTCATATAATATCTTTAATTAAAATATATTCTTCCAAAATAGCAGACAGCATAATGTCATCCTAAACAGTATTCATAATCTAATATAATTAACACATCGGACGCTTTCAGTTTCATTTGAAACGACTAATCCTCACAAAAGCATATAAGACACAATTTTCTGGTCCCATGATTTTACATGACAAGCTTGGGGGTTGGGGGAACACATTCAGGTGTTTTTGTTAGCTGGTTGGTTTCTACCGTCACCTGCGTACTCTATGGCTAAAATAGTATGCATGATTTTTCCTCCTTTTGTCAAAAAAGATTAAGGACAACACAGCAATGACCATCTGTTCATAAATGATGTTCTGGAAATCATTAAAAAACAAACATACACTGCTTAAGCCTCCACAGCAAGACTGCAATTCATTTTACATTACTGTGGATGAGACCAAACGCAAACCTAAAACAATCAGTTCAAGGGTTAGAGGCACAAGCAATAAAATTGGGACCACTGCAAATCTCCTTTGACAGAATCCGTTGTGCGTATAGCGAATGTGTGCATGTGCTTCTCAGTAAGCCCGAACGTACTGTGCCATGTGGGCATGTGTGCGTGTGTGTGTGTGCCAGAGGGGATTTTAGGGTTCACTCTGCCGGAAAGGCAGCACGCGCTGGGCTTCGTTAAGCTGCAGTGATCCTGAAGCAGGCAGAGAGAGAGAGAGAGAGAGAGAGAGAGAGATTACGGCCTAGCTGGATCGACAGTACCCATCACAGATGGCCAGACGTTTATCTCGTGCCAGCATCACTGGTGCATGTAGGCAGGGCTACCTGCCTATTCCCCACTGCACTGAAGACATTTCCTATGAACACATCCCTGCATGGAGGGTTTTTTCTCTTTGCTCATGTGTTTGGTTGTTTGTTTTTGTGTACGACCTATGGGAATTAGCATCAGGGTGGCTCGGGCAACATTGGCACCATATGCAAAATCACAGCAACTCTGCCTTTATAAGGCAGCCCTACATAAACTATATGTCCAAAAGCATCCAAACAGCCCTGCAAATAAGCGGATTCAGCTTCAGCTTCAACTTTGACATCAAGAATCCAATGACAACACAACATGCGAATAAAATGTGGCTAGCTCAGCTGTGTGGACTAAACAACTTAGTATGCATTAAGAAATGAGGTAATAGTTAACAGTTAGCTAGCTAGTTAGCTGACTAGTTAGCTAGTTAGCTCTCCTTTTCCTTTTGTTGTTTATCTAGCTTAGCTTTGATAAGCTAGCATTCATTTAGCATTTGTTGTTGTTTAGCTTAGATAAACATATGAATATCTACCAGGCTTTTTCTTTACACAATTGTATGCAAAGGCTTGGGCACCCCAGTCAAATTCCATGTTTTATTGATAAAAATAAGCACACATCCTTTACACAGAACACTTTAGCACAATTTCATATTGCTGTTTATTACCTGAATTTAACATTTTGGGGAAAATATCAAACATAAAATGTGGCATGTGTTATTTATTTTTCCCAGGAAATGTGCTGTAAAATTAGCATTTTATGCATATTTAAGATTGTGTATTATAGTTAACTCACTCATTTAGAAAAATCAATAAGACATGTCATTTGACCAGGGGTGTTCAAACTGTAGGTGTTAAAATGCACACGTAACAGCCATAATCTCTTTAGAAAAACATTGCCAGTAGAATGATGCTTCAGAGCAGCTGCACACGAACATTTACAATGCTCAATTGCATATGCCTAGAGGGGTGTAAAGCTCCCCAACAATGGATTTGACATTGTATGATGGAAATCATGTTCTATTGAGGAACATCAGAGCTCCTGTGAGCAGCAGCAACATTTCAACATCTAGTAGAAATCCTGCAGATCATTATTGCTATAAATACGATTTAATTCAAAATAAGATTTTGTAAGAAATGTTGGATGAGCAAGTGTCTGGATACTTTTGGACATATAGTGGACGAGAAAAGGACCAGGCATGACACTAGAAGAAGCAAGGACACCTCTGCACCTACACTAGAGTTCCTGCTGGTTGGGTGACCACGAAGATTGAGTTTGACATGAAGCTATAAAATGGACAGGTGTGGAGGCACGCCTCCCAGTTCACTACGATGGGGTGAAGGGGCTGGGTCAGGGGGAAGAATCCAGCGGCGGCTCACTTGAAAGAGGCGCGGACCTTGCGGCCCTTCAGAGGCTGAGGGGGGCGGTAGTTATCCACCATACAGCATTCTGGTTCCCCCTCAGCAGAGAAGAGCAGGCCACGGAATTTCTTCATCTGTTCCGAGAGAGAGAGAGAGAGAGAGAGAGAGAGAGAGAGAGAGAGAGAGAGAGAGAGACACACACACTTCAGCACCTGCCTTTGCCACTTCAGCATCTATGATTGCAGTCTCCACAGGGTGCTTATGGCTTAACCTAAATTTGGATTACACTCTCTAAACTTTTAATAAGATTGATATCGAACACCGCTCCATTCACTTCTCTGCACTGAATGGTAACATTCACAAGACGTTGCAGTTCATAACTGTCACTGTACTTCACTGTGTAGTTCAGGGGTCGGCAACATGCGGCTCCAGAGCAGAATTAGATTTATAGGTAAAAATGAAATAATCCTCCTATGCAGTAAAACAAAGCTCTGCTGATTTTTCTAACACAGTTTTAAGAAGAAATATTCTTAAACGCTGGAGTTAATGTAGCCTATATCTGCTAATTCACCAACCTTTAATACTGAAGATGCCTGCTGGTCACATAGCAACGCAGACAACAGTCTCGCCTAGCTAGTAGCTAATGAAACGGCAAAGACTTTTTTGCATTTATAAGCACTCCTGCTGGTTTTCTGATATGTTTAGTCTGCAACGAGAAACTGTCAAACACTAAAAAGCCGCAAGGCTGAAGTCAGCTTCTCGTTTGCCAGCTTGAATTTTACTGTTCCACCTTAAATGGTGCAGCAGTTACATTCTGGTGCCTGAGGCACCATTTAAGGTGGAACAGTAAAATTCGAACAAGAAGCTGGCAAATGAGAAGCTGACTTAAGCCTTGTAAAAAGTCGAATGTTGAGAGACATTTTACAAGATATTATTCCAATTTGTGAAAAAGTTGTGTGAGAGATGTGAGAAAAGCAGCCATAGCTGAGCTAAAGTAGCGCAAAGTAAGTCTGTGTTTTTGTTTATATTATATCTTTTAGCCTATACTAGCACATTAGCACATACTGAGACATATTTACAGCCAAGACAATAAAATGGCCATAAAATATTGTGGCTCCCAAGGTGGTTTGATTTCTTTTTTTTTTTGTGAAAGGACAGAGTGGCTCTGCTTAACATTTGGGTTGCCAACATCTGGTGTAGTTAAATGCATACACCAGCCAAAATGAAAAATGTAACTATCAATACATCAGTTGTAAACATGTCTACATGCCTACTGTGGCAGTCCCAAAGTCTCTAGAGTAAAATTTATTGTTTAAATACTGGGAACTTTCTGAGGACACATCTTGAAGGTGGAAGGAACTTTTGAACAACTGCGTTTGGGTTAAGTTTAGTGTGAATGCAGAAGGAAGCCACAAAGCTAACCCTAGGCCAGATGTCCTAGTGCAGCCGTATAACTGTAGTAACTGTTTTCCAATCATCATTACAATCTACAGCATGGATTACTTGAGCAACAGACATGACTTGTCAGATGTGGAAGACAACAAGGCAAAAGCTACAGTTAGCAAGCTCTGTCTAAAAGTGTACAAAACGGTCTGTGGAATCCATTTTGTGCTGAATAAAAATAGAATTGTTTTGTTTTCTTTATGATCTGTTTTGTTGGCTCTGACTTTAGCATTCCGCATGCATTCTACAGTTGAACTGTGTTTTGGATAAAGAAAAAAGCTACTTTGTTCAACAGTTAAGGTAAAAGTTAGTCAGTATTGGTTTACAGCACAGGGATGGATTCTCTGATAAGGCTGAGGCATATCATGCTACATTATAGAATCTTGCATAGTTTGACAAATAACAGATTAAATGCTAGTTTAAGACCAGAATGCGTCTTTCATCTTTTATCTTTTTGTCCACAGGCCTGGTGCTCCACTGCCTACTCTACTACATACCTAGCCGATGTCAATAACCAGTATTTTTTATGTATGTGTCTGCGATGCTGATATATATATATATACATTTATTAAATTATTTATTTTTTTATAAAACATAAATAGGGGCTATATCTACTAGGATTAACTTTATAGAAATATGTTACATTTACTTCTATAAGGCTACAAATGCAATAAAATGAATAAAATGAAAATATTTCAGCCCAGCGTCATCTAGACACACTGCTCTGTCAGAGTACAATAAATAGGTCATCAAATATTGGTTTGAAATACTTAAAATTAATTACTGAATATTAAGCCTAGACTTTAAACAGTCACATTTTAAAATTCCATCAAACAGCAACCATAAGGGATATGAGCCTTAGACAGCAGAATTGATGTCGTGGTCAAAGCCTACAGCTGAGAAGGTCAGTCTACGTCATCATAACATTTCTCTGGTCAGTGTTAATTTTCACTTGTGTGTGAGATGGATGCTAGGCCTGGAAGACTAACCCAGATATTATGAAAATGTGTGCAGGCTGTGTAAGTAGGCTAGGTACACCTATAACTGTTCCGCTAACCAGTGATTTTCTACAGACTCACTGAGGCTGTAACATTAAGCCAACAAACAGGCTGGTCAAAAGTTGGATGAGAATCCAGTGAGCATAATTATATGATCAAAGCAAATTCTCTCCAGCAACTAAACTTAACATTAAGTGGCCTATATTTACCTAACCACATTTTCTCAGACTGTTTCAGAACATGGAAAGGTTCTGAAACTGAGATACTATTCTAGCACTGTAATAATAGCTCTGACTGTTTCAGAGCATCTTCCTTAATTTCTTTAACATAAATACTGTGTGAGGATATTCATGTACTGTGACCTTTGTCAGCACTATTCCATGCAGGTTAGCACTATGCAAGCGATATGCTAATGAAATGGTTAAATGGCTATTAGCAATATATTAATAAAATGGACCGGACCTGGGCAGAGCTAACGCTGATGGACTGCTTGCACACAATCCATGTGACACACTCCAGAGGAGGGGGTGTGGTCAAGGAGCCATCATATGTCCAGTAGTCCAGAGAGCTGGGCAGCAGCGTGGTGGGGTCGAAGTCTGCAAATGAGGTCTGTGTGTTCTGTGGAAGGAGCCAATAATGGACAATTAGCAAATGAATCTCAGCCCTAAAAAATAAAAGACTCCACGATATTCAAAAGAACTTACCTTAGTCTTAATGCCGTCCAGTGCATCAAGAACCTTCTGGAGCTGAGGATTTTCATCACCAATCTGATGAATATAAACGCAACGGTGATCTAACAACACTCCCATGACATTGGCTAGATATGTGTGATGTTGTACTGTCAATCTATCACAGTTGAAAGGAAATTTTAATTAGGAGAGTTAATTAGGACACACTGACCTCCAAAAAGACTCCAATGACTGCAAGACCATCAGACTCGTTGACAGCGTCTCCAAAGCTGGAATATGCAGTATTCCAGTGTACCAGATGGAGCTGGAAGGAGGAAGATGTTTAAATCATTTTTGTGCACCAAACACTCTTGAAGTCTGTTTTACCACAGTACTGATCTCTCTTTCACACAGTGACCATTTAGCTTATTGCATGAGACACACAGCGTAGGGCAGGCATGTCAAACTGGGGACCTTCCGGGACAAAGTGCTGCATAGATTAGCGTTTACTCTCATCTGATGCTCTGAGTTCAGTTCATGCAGGCCTTGCTAATTAGCTGATGAGCTGAATCAGGTGTGTTTAATGAGGTAGCGTGCTAAAGTCTGCAGTGCTTTGGCCCACAAAGACTGGGGCTTGACATGTGGTGTAGGGTCAGTCAGCAGCTATGATAAGCAAAAACTGTATATATGCTATCTAAAAATAACCACGAGTCTTCAAAGAAAGGGATACAGCAACTCAGTTGGTTACATCCATGATGTGTAAGATGAAACCCAGAGCACTTAAAACACACTATTCTAGCTAGACATAGATTAGCTAGCTTATTGACAGCTAATATGTCTCAGCAGACCAAACTGTTACTATTTGGTGGGAAAAGACATGATCTGCTCGTATTGGCTTGATATGCTATGTTAGCACTATATGCCAGCTGAGTAAGTACATAAAACTGACTAACTTAGCTAACTTGTTAACTAGCTGTCCAACATTGCTAGTGGTTGTGTTTTTCCGTCGAATGAGCTGGTCATTTGTCAAATTTAGGCTTCTAATAGCTGCTAATTACCTTCTTCTCACCCTGTACTAAGTGAATAGCTTCTCATGCCGGCTGGCTGCTTTGGGAGTATGCAGCTAAAATGCAAGCAGGTTTAGCTGTCCTGAGTAAAGGTGTATGCATTGGAGGCTAGTTTTGCACTCTGATTAAACAGAGGTGAGAGGCATTATATTGTTTTTAGGGACTTAAATTTTCAACCAACATCTTTGAATGTTCATACTCGTTGAATAGTTTGATTTGTCAACTATTGTAGTTACTAACTTCTCCCACTTGATGAAAGATTTCAACAATTTAGGAGGCTTTAACTTCAGAAATTCTCAGGATTGTTCACTCGTTTTGCCTGCTTCCTTCCAACAATTAGGCGTGGTGCCAAAACTTAATCATTAGTGGCTGCATCCGAAAAACTTCGCCCACACAGCAGGGAAAAAAAAAGATCAGGAATATACGGAGCGATCTACAGTAGATCTTGTCTGAAGGAACCACAGGACATCTGGCAATTTATTGCCCCACAACATACAGCACATCCCTAAAACGCAGCCAATGTAAAGTAATGCAGGTTAACCTTCCTATGTTAATCAATGTAGCCTTTTATTTGCACAAAGTTTTGTTTCACCCAGATTTTTTTGCCAGAAGCATGCAGAAAATACTGGGTTTAGAGGGGCATGCTGATTGCTTGGTGGGGCATTGCCCCACTAAGTCACTCACTGATGTTGGGCCTGCACACAATCCTCAATGGGAACAACTAGAAGTAAAAATCAATTGAAGGCGAAACAAAAAATGCTTTACTCTGCTGTAATGCAATTGCAGAGTAAGACACAGAGGATCCACACCTCAGCAGAGTACGTTTTTCCATCAATGGTGTGCTCCGAGCCTTTGTCATCGCTGGATCCCCAGTGGAAATGGAACTGCTTCAGCCTGTAGGTGCCAGAAATGGGGCCTCCTGTCAGGCCTGATGATGGGAAATGGGAAAAAATGATTAGCTATGTCTAGAGAAATATCTCTAAACCATACTGTTTTGGCATCTGAACAGAGGTGGTCAAAGATTCCAAGGAGTTTGGTCTACCAAAGCTGTACCTGGCAAAGTGAGTTACAGTTACAGTTAAAGACTACCTCAGCTTCTAGAGAATGGAGAAATCCTGAAGCCACAACCACTAACCCTTAACCCCCACTCACATACGAACAGCGCAGGCAGACAATAGACTGCTCAATCCTGTTACCAGTACAGCGCTAGCAATTCTTACTAAACATTACATAAGAACTTTAATTAGGAACTTAGAGACTAATCCTTCATTATGCTATTCCCATCACCACTTGATTAAAATTAGGTTTGTGACAAAACAGGTCAACTCAGCTACTGAGCAGATTAGATCAGTCTGTGCAGAATGTGTGTGTGTGTGTGTGTGTGAGTGTGTGTGAAGCGCAGAGCCTACTGTGCTTTTGCGAGTAGATGAAGGCGCATTAGAGTGCAAAAAAAAGTGTTGTTTTACCTCACACCCTGGTGTGTGTGTGAATCCTCAGACTACTTGGGTTTAGAGAGCTATTTCCACTGCAGTATTTGGAGACTGGCACATTCACATGCATTGCAGAGTGTAATGTTTAACCAAGATATGAGTCAAAAGTACACTGCAAGGGATCTTTTAATGCTGCTCTACTGGTCAGTGTGGGAAAAGGTGACTGAAGCCAGTGGATAGGTATCAAGGCAGAGCTTCTCATACCTGCACAGTCCTGTTTGTTTCCAGACCTTTTTTGTAGGTTATAGTAGGACATGTCATATGGTAAAATATTGTTTTCCAGTCTCGGTTCATGCTGACTGTCCTGTTCTGATTAACTTAGCAACTACTGTAAAGGAAATATCATATAGAAGCTAAATTAAAGTGTGAATTCCAACAAAATTTCTGCATATTTCTACATCATTAAGATGCAAAGTAATCTACAACGGTTTGATGTGAAATGCTGGAGAAAATTAAAGAGAAACATTCCGAATAAGAATCGTTCACAATGGTGATGATAGGAACCAGATGTCTGAAGTGTTTAATGCCTACAAAAGCTGTGTTCTAGATTGTTATGAATAAATAAATGAATAAATCATATGTCTATACATTTGTGTTGCAGACGTCACAACCCCTGGTTCCCTCAACATCGCAAAGATATCTGAGTCAATAAGTTTCTACACAATGAACCATTTCACATCAAACCACTCTGGCTGACTTTGTTCACATCTCAAAGATCAAGTTCTGCAAAAATGCTGAAAAATTGGCAGAATTCTCCTCTAAAACTTAAAAAGCAAACTGAACACAGGCCTCCGACACTTTACCATATAAATGTACTGGCACATGCTACCTGATGTTCCACAATACCTGAACTGTGCACACACATTAATTATGCATACATATTCTGGGGCATTTATAAAACACCCACGCAGCTTACCTACATAAGAGCAAAAGCAAAAGCACCACTCTAAGCCATTGCTCGCATCTACTGCATCACGGTACCATCTTCAGGTAAAATTCTCAGCATTGAACAAATGTCTGCAGTGTTGGGTGAACACCCAACTGATGAAAGGTCTTTAATCTTGAATTAGCCTCTACAGTGTGGAATGAATTCCTACCGTGTTGAACAAATACCTACAACAACAAATCAATACCTATAGAACTGAATCAGCAGCTAAAATAGTGAATAAACATTTACAGGTTTATCAGCTTACAAAGGTATGTGATCACCAACTGATTTGAATAAAGCACCAACAGTGTTGAACAACAGTGTTGTATTTATTAACCTCTATCTTATTGGGGAGATTCTCAGTGGTTGTATGCCGTATTTGCATAGTGCATGCTGGCTATTGTGGACACAAACACAGAAGGGACACTGAATTGTGGCTTCTGTTAAACCGACAAGGCTGCGTGACGCAAGGCTACACTACAGAATGTTACATAACATGATGAATTCGGCGAATAATTGATAGTACTGAATACATGCAGTTATGTAAATAAGTACTGAAATTATGCAAATTATTCTCCTCTATGTGACATTTTTTGCCTTATTTTAGTTAACCATTTACGCAATCATTCTAATTCTATGGTCACTTCAAAAAAGTGTACAATTGAAAAGGTTGCACTTAATTAAAGGCTACAAACAGACCATCATCTGGTAATGAACTACATATAAACATATTTGAATGCCACTTAGATTAAAGATTAATACTTAGACGTTCAGTCAGGCAACTCCAGTACATGAGATCTGCCACCCGCTCGAGAGTAAAATGGACAAGCTTGTGCAGATACGGGTGCCAGTATGTCAATATTTTGGTTAGAACCACTGGATGTTAAGTGTTACATGTTATCTGTGCCGAATGCAGTAATTATAATGAAAGATTTAATATTATGGAGTCATATTAGGAAGCCTAGGTGTTATTATATGGTAATTATATTACCATCAGGGAAAATGCATTAGGGAAATGTGTCGGTATCATTTGATACTTTGGCACTGAATTTGGATCACGATTATACAGCTTATTGCAATATTTCTGCAGACGCTGATTGTTCATCTAAATTTAACGTTATCGTCCAAGCTTAATTACAGACTGCACAGTGTTGAATGAACATCTGTAGTATTGAATGAACACTTATAGTATTAAAACCTAAAGTCATGAAAAAAACACCAAGCAAATGAACACTGCAGAGGTCAATACAACAGTTACCCAAATGACTGTAGGTCTTGTAGGTCGTTAAAGGGGAATTCCACCAATTCTTCAAAATGTCTCCATAATTAAATGGTTAAGACATAAACTCTGTCATTCAGAGTGGTTTGATGTGAAATGCTCTGTTCAAGAGAAACTCAGTGAGTCAGAATTGTTCACAGTGGTGGTGATAGGAACCAGACGTCCAAAGCTTTTAATACCTCTAAAACTACCTCACAAAAAGTTATTACACAGTTTACGATAGTTTTAAAATAAAGTTTTGACCTAAAATACATTTTTTAAATCCATTTATAGGCGGAGAGGTACTTGCAGGGTGTTATAAGGCAAAATAGTCCCTAAAGAGAACTTATTGCCATTGTTTTACCATTATATTACATATTAAAATTCTGACGTCACGTGCAGGTTAACTGTTTTGTTTGTTTGTTTGTTTTGGACAGTAAATAAAAAGGCCAGCATGACCCCTGGTTCCCATCACCACCACTGTGAAGAAATCTGTGTCTAAGCTTCTCTATAATGCACATCAAATAGCACATCAAACTAATCCGAATGCCTGTTTACATGAGACACTGTGAAAATCCCCCTTAATACTGAAGGTGGTCGTGCAGCAGTAAGAGTTAAATCAACCCTGCAGATGTTCATTCAGCACTGGTGCCCGATCACCGGTAGCACGCGCGCAGTGCGCACTCACTCGAGCTGTCCGTGTCGTCGGCGAAGGTCACTTGCACGGAGTGGCCGTTGTTGAGGATGTCCAGCGAGGTGGAGGGGTCGTAGCGGGGCGCGAGGTGCGCCAGCCTGGGGTCATGCTCCGCCTCCCCGGACACGATGTCTATGGGGGACTGGCGGGTTTTCGCGGCCAGCTGGTACGTCTCGACCCATGTGTCAGGTCCTGCAAAGAGAAGAGAAAGGGGGTCCACGGTGAGAGAACGTGGCGTTTTCTGGAACACACGAACCCAGTCAGGGTGCAAAGCGCGCGTGCCTGCGAGCGTGAAGTCATTCTGAAGCCCAGCGGGGTTTCATTCATTCATTCAAGCCAAGGTATTCGAGCTAGTGCTGAGTGGAGCAGATCGCTAGACGGGCTCACCGTTGTCCGCTGCGTATCCCCATCCGTGAGACATTGTTGCAGTGTGCTCGAGCTGACTGCAGCTGCAGTGCGCTGGAAAGAAGTGTGTGTGTGTGTGTGAAGCAGCCCCGCACCACGCACACGCGCGGCAGGGTTTATATAGGAACGCTGTAGGGTTTGGCCATATGATCACACACACACGCGAGAGTGAGCAAGCGCAATCGATCCACTCTCTCTCTCACACACACACACACGCACACACGCACACACTCGCTCTGGATGGATGTCAGCTGCGCTGCAGTGCTGCACGCACACTTCTGTAAGGCTCTCCTATTGGCCACCACGCGCGAACACATGAAAGGAAAATGAATTCATTGCTGGACTGACGCGAAGTGAAGCAGTAAATCACGGTGTAACGGTTTTGTAATGAATGAAGCGAATAGAGAGTAAAAAGTCAGTATGAGGAGAAGCGAAGCGCTCTGCTGCCTCCTCGTGGTGGGAAATTATAATTGGTTTTTCGATTAGAAGCATTTTCCGTGGCAAGCGGGGACATTGACAGGGCAAGTAAAGATCTGGGGCTGAGGAAAGTTTTGGGGTATCCTTTTTTAATTAACCTGTAAAATATGCATATAAGTCATTCCATATATATATATATAAAAGTCTGGTTCCATTGACTTACATTAAAAGTAGAGTCATTCTCTATGACAACTGTGTGTATATATGTATATATATATATATATGCCTATGTATATATATATATATATATATATATATATATATATATATATATATATATATATATATATAGGCTCATGGGAGGTGCACGCTCCCCATAGTTTATGTTGTTTATGTTGTCAGTGAGGTTAAAAGTATGTGTATGTATATTTGTGGCATCCTGTGCTGGGGTGTGTGTGGGTGTTTTGTGTAGGGGGTTGGTCACCATGAGGTGGAAGCCTATGGCTAATGTGACCTCCCCTCGTTGGTTTTGTGCTTTGTATGTGTGTTTCTGCTGGTGTTTCAATAAAAGAGCACTACACACAGCAGAACTATGGCTTCCTGTGCCTTATTCTATGCTGACACTACAATAAATGAATATATATATTTTTAAGAAAAAAAGGTATATTTTTACAAAAGCATGTCTCAAAAAATTACATTCCATCAAACATGAACACTACTGGTGTTGCACACCACTATATTTTGTAAATCAGAGCAAAATCAAACTGTTTTGACAACTGTATTAAAGTAGACAGACTGCAGGAGATATTCGGTCACTCACAAAAGCTGGTAAACTAAGCAGCCTTTTGAAGTATTCCACCACTCTATATAAGCAAATACATATAGGCTCTTTTTTATCAAGAATTTTGAACTGATCCATAATTAAACCAAAAGTAAGACCTTCAAAGCTTGCAGAGCCTGCCAGTACAACTAGGTCTCCCATGCAGGCAGGCCCAGATTAAGATCCTCTGGTGGCCCTGGGCATTAGAGCTATGGCGGCCCCTTTCCTAGGAACATAACACTCTACCAATCAACTTAGTGATTTAATCTTTCCCATGATAAAATCACTACACATGGCCTCAGGTGGCTTGATGCTTATTTGTTCAATAAATAATTCAAGTTACTATTAACTAAATCTAAATTACTATTAACAATAATCGAGAAATTAATCCACCAAGAAATGTAGCTTCTTTAGAGTATGTTGTTGCCAAGCAGTCATGGAATGCTGAAAGAGAACGAGAATGTTCAGTCACCCATCACTGCATATAACTTTCTGTATTATATAACAATGAACATATCATAATGTAGCACTGTTATGCAATCCAACTTAGCTCCCCATCCAGAGCCTGACCAGACTGAGCCTAGCATTGCTGCTGAAACCAGAAAAGACCAAGGATTTTTAGAGCTACTAGGTCTTGAGCGAAAGCTGGTTGACAAAACAGACTTTTGAGCTATTCCAAAACTATATAACTAAATAGACACAGACCTCTTTTTTTAATTGATCTCCCACCCAGAGTCTGAGCAGGCTGAGCACAGCTTAGCTTCTGAAATCAGAGAAGACCAGGGCTTTTTAGAGCTACTTTGTCATTGGTGAAACCTGCTCAACAAAACAGCCTGTAAAAGTATTTCACATCTCTATAACCTAATCGGTATAGATCTCTTTGTTTTTTTGTAAGATTTCTTGTCTGATTCTTAATAAAACCCCAAACTAGGGCTGGAATGCTTGTAGATTAAGGCAACCCAACTACTCAGCTTGGTAACCTGTCCACAGCCCAACCAGACTAAGCCTTACTTAGCATCTGAAGCCTAACAAGGCAGAGGCTCCTTGGAGCTCTTTGGTCATTGGCGAAAGCTGGCCAACAAAACAGCCTTTACAGTATTCCACCACTCTATATATATGCTGACAGACTATTTTTAACGATTTCTTTATTGATCCACAACAAAAGCAAAGGCTATAAAGCTCCCTGACCAGGCTAAGCCTTGCTTAGCATCTGAAGCCAGACAAGACCAAGGCTCCAAAGAACTATTTGGTCACTGGCAAAAAGTTGCCATATATCACTCTGTATATCATAATCGATACAGACTTTAAAAAAAAAATCTTTATCGATCATAATCATAACAAAAGCAAAGGCTGTAAAGCTTGGGAATCCAACTCGCTTAGCCTCGCTTAGCATCTTCTTAGCACTACTGATAGTACTGCACTGTGTTTCACACACTGTTTACTGTGCTAGTATGCGCTTTGGGACACAGCAGATGACTCCTTATAGCTATTTGGTCATTGCTGAAAGCCAAGTTTTTTAAGTTTTCTTCCACTCTAAATATCCTAAGAGATACAAATTCCATTTAAAAAATGTTTCGTTATTGATCGATAACCAAAACAAATGCAAGCGCTAAAATACTTATAGAGCTTACCTAATGCTGTATTAGGTAGGGACATTACCCACATCGTGCATAGCATACAAAATATGGTTCAGTATGTGACAGTATGTGTGATGAAATGGCTGAAATGCATGTACACTGATGCAATGAGTTGTGCGACATGCTATAATAAGATCAACATGTCAGGGATGTCTCCTTTCTACACACTGTCAGCAGAACCACTGGGACCGGCTATGAAGTGGATGGATGGGATCAGGGGATAGCAGTTGAAGGCTCAGGAGAAGTGGAAATGCTCTTTAAGTACACAGATGATACCACTCTGCAGTGATGGCACTCTAAATTTCTCCTTAGCACATGCACGCTACACTATTCGGCATTGGAGGAATGTTGTAAAAGACAGGAATTTCAAATCTTTACTTTGGCCTTTCTTTTCAGATCTATTAAACCAGCATGTGAATATTCTGTATGCTCACTGTAAAAAGCAAATTTCTCCAAAAAAATAAATCCCCTCGCTAAATGTAAGATTAGATGGAAGGGTAAATTAAAATATAGATGCTGAAATGCTGTTTTTCTTTCCTTATGACATTTCTTTATTCGTAGGTGGGGTGTAATTTCACATGTAATGACCCTCATGTGAAATTACACTCCACCTATGAATCAACCCAACTACCGAACTTGGTAACCCATCCACAGCCCAACCAGACTAAGCCTTGCTTAGTATCTGAAGCTAAATGATTGCACACCATTGAACAGTTAGTTTTATCATGTGATGTGTTCATCTTAATGCAGGAATGTGAAGTCTTTATCTGAAAGTGAATTTCCCTTTGATGTGTGTGATATCAAACTGATAATTTCGAAGAGCTTCCATTACAGACTTTTAAATATTTCCCCACTCTATATATGCTATATATCCTAAAAGTCCCATTGTGGTGTAAATAAAATCAAAATGTTCCAATGTTACTTCCAAGTATTTCAACCTGACATTCTTTCATACATATTTCAGCATTGGGCATTTGAAGTATCCCAACACTCTATTATGACTCAAAAGATGCAGACCTCTTATTCTAATTCTTCAATTCTTCTTACTTCCACAATGTAATGTACCTTTCAGTGTACACAGTTACCCTGTAATGCCAGCTGGTTTTCAATACAAGCCCTGATCAAGCCCCACATTGCTTAGTTTCAGACATGAGACCAGACCTCAACTTCTTTTTTATTGTCTCAAGTCATTTGCTCAGTCCCACAGTGTAAACTACTTTCCACCACATTCAAAACTCCTAGTAATGCAGTATAGTCTCCCATCCATACGCTGACCAGGCCTGCTTAGCTTCTCAGATTAGTCAAGCCTATGGGTTATTTTTTATTATTATTAACAATTATGTCATTGAAATGGCACTGCAATACATAAAAAGTTACAGCTATGATATAGTATTATATAAACCTCGGAATTTAAGCTTCTATCTCAGAGAGGCAAATAAAAACCTGTTTGACACATAAAATGTGCAGATAGAAACATCTTGGAAATCAGAAATCCAGATCATGTAAATTCAAATAAATTATCACCATATGAAAAACATGCTTCAAGACAGGAAAACCAATATAACTTTCTAATAAGCATACTTAATGTTCAGAGGAATCACAGTCACAAGTACAATACAAAGGAAAACCTGTATTAAACTGAGAACATTCTGGTAAGTTAAGAGTAAACAGCCCATATAAAATGAATGAAAGGATTACTCTGTAATACCAAATACTCAAACACGTCAAGATCTCCCGTCACATAAAAATAATCTCATAAGTCAGGGGTGTCAAACTCAACCAGTAAAAGGGCCACATTTAAAAATCTCCTCAAATCTGTGGGCCAGAGGAAAAAATGTTTTTATTTCATTTTTAATTTATGTTGTGCCGTAACCTGAACAGGACGTTGTTTATTCAAAATATGCAAAAACCTCAACAGTAAAATACAGACACTTGTAGTAGACCTTATTAAATATTACATGGACACTTGAAATATTCAAAATATAAATGTCCCCAGGTGCTTGGCCTTTTAAACCTACCTATTTGCTTAAACTAGACACCTGACATCCTTTCTTTGCTGCAAGTTCATTAAGACTTGGGCTCAATTTCTGAGCTGAGCTAATGTTAAGTGTTTATGTTGGTTGAACAGAAGCTGAAGTGAATTTTGGTGATATGACTGGTGTGAAAAATTGCTGATGGAGTGGGAAAGTCGGAGCACATTACGTTACAGTGCATGCTGGGGACTGTATGCAGCATATTGTGAAACGGGCAAAAAATAACAGAAAATTTAAATACTTTTGCAGTCCGGATAGGATTGTGTGGTGGGCTTGATTTGGTCCGCGGACCTTGTGTTTGACACAT